TATATCAAATGAAATACATTTTGTACACAGTAATTGTTTACTGAAGCAACTATTTTGTAATGTTATAACATATGTACGAATTATATGTGTATATCTGTGTTTGGATATGTGTATATTGCTGCATTTATTATATTGTACACCTGATTGTTTCAGGGTTGTCGTTTTCACCTATACCATATCTCCAATAAATCATCGGCCATTGAAGAACAACAAAAGTAGCGTCTGTTGTCTGTGCGTGACTGACGCAGTCCTGCTACAGTAACACGATATGTGCATTGGTCAGGCGTTATGGAAACAGTTATGATTTGCCGACAACCCACGTTCTGGGCGTCCCCGAGTAACGACGCCAAGACAGGACAGATGGATTCGGGTGACTCATCTCAGACACAGGTTCCAGACGGCAGTGACCACGTCCCAAACCATTCCCCAGGCCTTCAATGCTCATTTGGTAGCCTATGCGTCGTCGATGCACTGCTGTGCTTCACGCGCATGATCGTCATACCCGTGACATACTTTGTGACTTCGACGTGTGACCCCCGACTCAATTTTGAACTTCTGACGTCATCGTTACGGATATTGTTCATGTTCTTTTGACATGTTGTTGTGGCCCGATACTTCAGCTTATAAAGTGTCCACATCACTTCGTCTTTTCTGTGTTGTATTCCAATTCTGAAGGAATTTTCTGTGTGCACAGTTTCTTTATGTGGCTAGTATATTTTCAGTGGTTGTACACAGACAAAATCCCGATGTACATTTACAAGCGGACATAAAATGTGCTCTAGATAACAAACAATCACGTGACTATGTTCTCAATGCAGTGCGTGATCCTGTTGATGTAACAATAACAGGCAAACAAACCATCATATCTTTATCTTGTAATTAGTGCTGGTCGATGTACTTCTATTACAGTGGCAACATAAGTGACTACAACCAACTTTCACCAGCGGGGTGTTCTCGGTTTCCCAACATTAGGGACCGTAGAACAACAAGATAAGGTTTAAGTGGGTCCTATTATTGCAAAAGGGGTGGCAGGTTTCCCGATGTTGGGGAACTTAGTCAATTGTATAGTATAGGGGTGGTAAGCTTTATCAAGGTTTATCACCATCACGCAAAACAGTACAAATTGAACCAGAGTTGAATTATATTTTCATTTTTTTTATTAATATAAGAAATGCATGCATAGCAGCACTTTTACACATAGCAACACTTTTGTATCACACTTTGTAATACATTATTCATGTATGGTTGAATTTTTATTTTCACATCATATGATAAACCATACAGCATTCATTTAGAGTTGCACTTTTGTTTTCATACAATAATTGACCGGGCAAGCTTCCCTGAGACTGCTACCCACTGTGATAAGTGAGTTCATCTCAGGACTCGCGTGCCTGACACCCCTAAAATTGGAATGCTCCAACTAATCCTCCTATTGTTCTCCGCCTAACTGAACTTGTTGTTTTAAGAAATGTTGGGAAACTGGGGGTAAACCTCACCAGCAAGTGAACCAAGACCAGCTCAGTGTCAGTGAGTCGGGGTGGTCGGTTATCTCGGTTATCTCCCAGCTTGTTTGAGGAGTGAGTGAGTTGGGTTTTACGCCGGTTTTAGCAATATTCCAAGCAATATCATGGCGGGAGACTCCAGAAATGGGCTTCACACATTGTGCCCATTTGGGGAGTCGAACCCGGGCCTTCGGCGTGACGAGCGGACGCTATAACCACTAGGCTACCCCATCGCCCCTGTTTGGGGAATTGAAATAGATCGGTGTAGGCAACCTTGTACCGTTATATAGATTAACGCTTAGCCTCTGAAAAATATGTTGTTTTAACATATAACTTCGTTGACCTGAAAAGGTGTTCAGTGAGATGGAAATTCGGAACCTGATGGAAATAATTTTATTTTTGGCTTTTTATATTCATGGCAGAAATATATCGACCATGTTAAGACAGTTGAGGAACAATACTAGCGCCCTCGAGAGAACAACAGTCCAACCAGTCGTTGTAGATGATGAGGGGGCGGTGGGGTAGCCTAGTGGTTAAAGCGTTCGCTCGTCACGCCGACTGAGATCTGGGTACGATTCCCCACATGGTTCCAATGCGTGAAGCCCATTTCTGGTGTTCCCCGCCGTGATATTGCTGGGATATTGCTAAAGGCGGCATAAAACATACTCACTCACTCATAGATGATGATGACGCTGAATTAGGAATCTTTGATGAAGGTGAATCCACTAAATGAACAGGATAAAGGTGAATTGCATATTTAGCGCCTTTGTTTTCACTAATAGGGCTATTGACCACCAACTTGAGCAATGCATGAAAATATTGTCACATCTGCTTTTTAATCGACTGCAGACCAGATGGTTTATCGTGCACCCATGTAGCATGTTTAACACGCATTCTGTCAGTATAAACAGACATTCTATCATCTGCTGTTACCCCCTATGACGGTGACGCGATCCTTGTCATGAAATTACAGGACAGCAATGAAGAAAAACAAACTTCACTGTGGGATGACAAACTGTAATTTTTCTGATTAACTGATTTTTCTCATTAGATCAAAGGTTACAACTAGCATGTCTGACATTCATCATGTACAAATATACTCAGGTAAATCAAATCGCTCAACACTGCGTAGCATGGATGACGGACAGCAACAGTTACTGTTACACTGTCCAGCGACAACTCTTAAAGCAATTTCGGTGCCTCACACCTTACCTATAGAAGGTGAGTCAAGGAATTGGTCAAATTCAGATTGCCATCTTCATCATCACATAAACTATTGGTTTCCCCGCTTTATCATATCATTGATTCTTATAACGTCGTATGTTAGATAACAATAAACAATAAATACGCTTACGAATTGTGATATCTAAAAGTGATTTAGGGATAACGAATAAAACGAATGTGTCATATCAATAATTCGTATTTATATAATTTAGGCAACTATGAACGGCTTTTGAACTTTACTTAGTAAATATACCCTGATTCAAAATATATTTTAATACATTTTACGTGAATCATTATCATCCATTTACATCCATCATAAATATGTTAATCATAATCATACTGATATCTTTAGGTATTCTTACATATTGATATCTAAAAATCAAATGGGCGTATTAATAAAACGTATGCATTTAATTTTCATATAAAATCGAATTATGAAATTAATATATTACTTATTCAATTTGACATCACACTTAAATAGCCAATGCAAAGCAAACGGCGCCTCAAATCCGGCACGGATTCTTTGGATTCATGTGGAGAATCGAACCCACACAGACTTTACTAGTTATAGGTTACGGCGCTGCCAAGCCAGCATTGGTATTCCTAGGACAGGATGATAGATTGACGACTATAAAGATTGAGAAGTCATCTGTAGATAGGAGCAGTCCTGGCATGTGTGACGTTACTATGGCGACGAAAGACGTCCATCGTTGCCATGCAATGGATACGGCAGAAATGCTTTGCTGACTCAGCGCCTTTCGGAATATCTCGTCCTCGTTATAGAGCGGTACAGAACACTCTGTCTTATATTTGGCACCGTTTTCTTTGGCAAAACTGCTTCTTTTCTTTCCTGTGTAGTGTTTATGCGTGTTTTGATATTAAGTATCAAGAAACGTCAGACCATTCTGATATATATGCTGCTAGACGATGACACTCGTTCTCACGGTTTGGGGGCTGTGGGGTTAGCCAAGTGGTTAAAGCGTTCGCTCGTCACGCCGAAGACCCGGGTTCGAATCCCCACATGGGCACAATGTGTGAAGCCCATTTCTGATGTCCCCCGCCGGGATATTGCTTGAATATTGCTAAAGGTGTCGTAAAACCATACTCACTCACTCTCACGCTTTTTTAATCTGTGCACTGTAGAACCTCGCCAATGCGACCATTTGTTTTGTTCGTTGTTTAAAGCCGCACTCACCAATATTCCAGCTATATATGTGACTGTGGTCTGGAAATATTAAAGTTTGGTTCTAACAACCCAGTGTTTGACACCATGAGGATCGTTCTACACAATCTATATATTCATGTTGGTTTACGTCGCCTTCAGAAACACTGTGTAGCCTACTGGTGAACATGGTCCTGTGGTGTATATCGCCAACCTCATCATGAGGAGTTCCCTTCCTTTGATGTACCCGGATCCGCTGCTCACGATTTTGCATGCCAGGCTCGTGACCTGATTTTAATCATCTGTTCGAAAGCATCATATCTTGTATGGTAGTTGTTATATTGAACAAAATCTACTGTCATAGAGAATACTATTAACGAGGTGTATATGGAATACCGAGCGAAAGTCCTTCAGATAACATCTGACCGAGCGAAAGCGAGGTCAGATAACATAGGAAGGTCACGAGTTTCGTATAATTCGTATGTAATGAGACCGAGTGTGGTATTTTATTTATTACCCACGTCTTACATGCATTAAATTGACAAAATAACGTAGTTTTGTTAATATTTTGGTTTCAAACCGAAACCGGTTTCATAAAGAGGTTGCGGAAGAGTTTTGTACTGTAGTACAATATTTGCATGACGTCACTGTAATGACGTCACTGCCTTGGTAACCGACGTCACGATGCATGTCAGTTGTCTTCGCCTCGTACAGCCTCCTACAGTAAACTACTCCGTAGCACCCCGTTTCTTGGTTTGCAGTTGCTTCATTCGGCTAACATCACTGGTGGAAACATTGCGTTTACGTTTTTCGACGGGTATAATGTCTCAGTTCGACTCACAATAAAACAGCGACACGGCAACGTTCGCGATGTTTACATTCCCACAATGCATTTAGTTGTAGAATGAATGGATCCACGTGTTTGTTATGAATGAAAAAGTAGTTCCGTCACAACATGACCTAACTGAGAGGTCATCGGTTATCCAATCAAATCGTTAGAATCTCAGGTCAAGTCGTTACGACACAGGTCAACGCGATACGACACACGTGTGACGTACGAGATTAGTATGCAACTCCCATACGTTGACCACGTGGGTAATAAAGCCTAGCCTAGCAGGAAGTATTTCGACATCGGCGCAAGCGTCCCGAGAACATCGTGCAGCTGTCTACAGTACAGCGTTTCACTTGGGTGGTTACTTCCTCGTTACATCGACACCTATACAGACGTGTTACAATCTTCTCATCTGTAAGTAGCTGTGCAAACTGTAATTGACACGTTTACTTTGTAATTGTAAAATGGAGGCTTATGTTTACATAATATATGTTATGTTTGACAATCCAGCTTCTGAAACTCTCGGCGTTATAAAGCCACGCTCGGCCCATTTCTGTACGGCACTGTGTCAAGCGCTGATTATTGACAAGTTATGCTTTCCACGAAGTGCATGTCGAGTTAAAATATCAGTAAGAAATTAAGCTGTTATTCTCTACACTACATTACTGGGTTTTTTAAATTATTTTTAAAATATTGATTTTCATGATTATTGTTGTTTTTCATGATAATCTTTAACGCTAACGTGTATGTATGCGTTCCATGGTATTAAAACTGTCCACTCAAAATTTTATGAGCTTTCTTAAGCTTGCTGCTCTAGTTTTTTTAAAAGTCTGTATATATTTTTTATATTCTGTATTCATAATAAAATGTCAGTTTATGTGTTATAATATAGGTCAGTGGTGGAGTATGTAATTTTGCTCTTTGATTTTCAGCATTGTTTAGTCTATGTTAGATCTGTAAGGCATTCATCATCATCATCTTTTAATGCTAATCCCGTAAGTCAGTCCAGGAAATACTTTCTGCTATATTCTCCACAGTACATGTCTGATGAAGTCTTGTACTATTTACCCAGAATTAATGCCTTTGATGTGTCAAAAGCTTGTTGGTGGTCTTTCCACAAAATTTGTTCTACTGGACCTTGATTATGACTACGAGTAAGAGGAAGAAAAATTTCAATCAAGTTTCATTTTCTATCTGGTTTGGGGATAGTATTTCAGCAGGTAGCTTGGTGATTAAAGCGGTTGTTCACGCCAAAGACCTGGTTCAGATCCCCTCATGGATTTAAGTGTGGAGCACATTTCAGGTGCTTTGGTATTGTGGAATATTGCTAACAGCAATATAGAACCATATGCCCTCACTCACTGTCATCGACATGGTGCTGCCAGTGTAGATCATTGCTCATGCTGTCAGCCTCTGATTTGTCGACAGTCATATGAGTTGTATTAAACACTAGTCTGTATTGTCCTGACATCAGCTGTGCATGCTTTGCATACCTGTAGGGACATGAAAATGTCAAGAGCTGAATGTAGTGCAACTACAGAATGCTATAGTCTGTTTGCAGTGAAAACGTACCGATGGATGTCACTTTAAACCAAAAGTAAAACAAATAAAGTGAAATTAAGACTGTGAATCCTCATGGTTTTACCTTGCCAATTGAACATTTAAATCTCAGAATTCTATTCGACTTAGGATAAAAGTTGTTTAACAAACTGCCTAGCCCCCCCTGCAATGCTAATGCCCCAAATGAAGCAAGTCTCGATTTCATCAATCTTCTATTGGGGCGGTGGGGTACCCTAATGGTTCAACTTCAAGTGTCTGCTCATCATGCTGAACCCCCTGGCTTCGATTCCCCACATGGGTACAATGTGGAAAGCACATTTCTTGTGTCCCCCGCCATGATATTGCTGGAATATTGCTAAGAGAGCGTAAAACCATACTCTCACTCACTCACTCACCCATCTCACTGGGGTTCTTTTTCAATTTAAATGGGTTCATGTGTTACAACAAAATTATACATATTAAGAGACGAAGCACTAGTCTACTTATAGCGCTCTTCTGGTGTTCCCCGTCGTGATATTGATGGAATATTGCTAAAAGCAGCGTTAAACTAAACTCACTCACTTGTATCCCTCTCCTGCTAGATATCAGACCCCATAACATTTGTCTTCCTTCCAGGACCCTTCCCTTACCTCCTCCCCAGCCCCCGGTCTACACCCCCTTCCCTGCCATATCCTGTTGACAGTCTTTGTCTAGGAGACTGGGTCATAAAGACCCAGTACAGCAGCTACATTGTATCAAGGAGATATCCCATACATAATTGCCATTGTTCAAGTAATGCTGCACAAGCATGTATAGGCATATCATCAACCACTTAGCTTTTTCAGCGCTATGTTGAACAATGAACACTACTGCAAAGTCAGTACATCATTACCACTGTGGTTTATAATATGAGCAAGTGAGCTGGTACTTTTTCTTGCTTATGGCCTGAGGGCATTGTTGAGAGCTACATTGTTGAAATTTGTTTCATTTGGCCTTTTAAGGATAATTTCAGCAACATTGTCCTTGTTTTTATCAGCATATATTGCACAAAACTATACAGAGTACCTTTTTACTTCCCTAGGATATACTGTTTAGCTGTTGACTAATGCGTCACTGCTCGGAAACTCTGAATGTTATCAGTTTCAGGAAAGGGAGTCGAGACATTTATAATCACAACACATACACAGTGACGCAAAGCATGACTAAATGCTTGATCATTATCATGATTATATACTACCTTAAGGAGGAAGTATATTGGAAATTGAAAAGGCAAGTTGCTTTGTACATGTATGGCAGTGTAAATTTGTGTAAAACGTGCAAAAAGTATCTAAAAATCATATTAGTGTCCTGTTGAACAATACAAAGTTATTTCTGCAACCATTTTGTGTGTGTGTGTGTGTGATTAAAGATTTTGTGCCTCAACTAACACTAAAATTCAAGGCCAGGTATCACTGAACAAAATTGATATATGCTTCTATAGACAAAATATCTTGACAAAATAATGGAAATGTAACAGAAAAATCACAATTTATAGTACAGTAATATATAATGGCTATGTCAGTTACAAGAACTTTATCTTTCCTTTCAAGAATTTGAAACAGTGAATATTATTCTGTGTCTGGACCATGACATATAATTTTTCTACTGTATATTTGTGATAACTGGATGCAAATTTCTGCATTACATTAGAACCTCAAGTATTCAACATATGTCAAGTACTTGAGATCAGTACACAGTGGATTTGTACACTTAGATGTTGAGGATTCAATATATTGGTATACTTAGATGTTGAGTACTTAATATATTGGTACACTTAGATAATGAGTACACTGTAGATGTCAAGTACTTGATGAATACACTATGGATCGGTACACTTTATGTGTCAAGTACACAATAGATTGGTACACTATATATGTCAAGTATGCAATAGATTGGTACACTATATATGTCAAGTACACAATAGATTTGTACACTATATATGTCAAGTACACAATAGATTTGTACACTATATATGTCAAGTACACAATAGATTGGTACACTATATATGTCAAGTATACAATAGATTGGTACACTATATATGTCAAGTACACAATAGTTTGGTACACTTTATATGTCAAGTACACAATAGATTGGTAAACTTTATATGTCAAGTACACAATAGATTGGTACACTATATATGTCAAGTACACAATAGATTGGTACACTTTAAATGTCAAGTATGCAATAGATTGGTACACTTTATATGTCAAGTACACAATAGATTGGTACACTTTATATGTCAAGTACACAATAGATTGGTACACTTTATATGTCAAGTACACAATAGATTGGTACACTATATATGTCAAGTACACAATAGATTGGTACACTTTAAATGTCAAGTACACAATAGATTGGTACACTTTATATGTCAAGTACACAATAGATTGGTACACTATATATGTCAAGTACACAATAGATTGGTACACTTTATATGTCAAGTACACAATAGATTGGTACACTATATATGTCAAGTACACAATAGATTGGTACACTTTAAATGTCAAGTATGCAATAGATTGGTACACTATATATGTCAAGTACACAATAGATTGGTACACTTTATATGTCAAGTACACAATAGATTGGTACACTTTATATGTCAAGTATGCAATAGATTAGTACACTATATATGTCAAGTACACAATAGATTGGTACACTTTAAATGTCAAGTATGCAATAGATTGGTACACTATATATGTCAAGTACACAATAGATTGGTACACTATATATGTCAAGTACACAATATATTGGTACACTTTATATGTCAAGTATGCAATAGATTGGTACACTATATATGTCAAGTACACAATAGATTGGTACACTTTATATGTCAAGTACACAATAGATTGGTACACTATATATGTCAAGTACCCAATAGATTGGTACACTTTAAATGTCAAGTATGCAATAGATTGGTACACTTTATATGTCAAGTACACAATAGATTGGTACACTTTATATGTCAAGTACACAATAGATTGGTACACTTTATATGTCAAGTACACAATATATTGGTACACTTTATATGTCAAGTATACAATAGATTGGTACACTTTATATGTCAAGTACACAATAGATTGGTACACTATATATGTCAAGTACACAATAGATTGGTACACTTTATATGTCAAGTACACAATAGATTGGTACACTTTATATGTCAAGTACACAATATATTGGTACACTTTATATGTCAAGTATACAATAGATTGGTACACTATATATGTCAAGTATGCAATAGATTGGTACACTATATATGTCAAGTACACAATAGATTGGTACACTATATATGTCAAGTACACAATAGATTGGTACACTTTATATGTCAAGTACACAATAGATTGGTACACTTTATATGTCAAGTATACAATAGATTGGTACACTATATATGTCAAGTACACAATAGATTGGTACACTATATATATGTCGAAATTACACAATAGATTGGTACACTATATATGTCAAGTACACAATAGATTGGTACACTATATATGTCAAGTACACCATAGATTGGTACACTTTATATGTCAAGTACACAATAGATTGGTACACTTTATATGTCAAGTACACAATAGATTGGTACACTATATATGTCAAGTACACAATATATTGGTACACTATATATGTCAAGTACACAATAGATTGGTACACTTTATATGTCAAGTACACAATAGATTGGTACACTATATATGTCAAGTACACAATAGATTGGTACACTTTATATGTCAAGTACACAATAGATTGGCCAGAGCTCTAGATAAGCTTTCTACAATCTGGGTATTTTACCCATGGTGTATGTTATAAATGGGTACTACTGATCTTCAGTGGGTACT